CATTAATTCTCTGGGCAGCAAATCCCGATCTGTTTGATAATGGAATGAGGCAGCTGCTTGCCCTGCATGCCTCTCCATTAATCCTTAACTTAAGAAATATTTCTCACATAAAGCAACGAAAAATTATTTGATATGTTGTTAGTGAAATTAAATTATTAATGAAATTAAATTATTATGAAATTAATAAGGTAATAAATGTTCATTTCATTTTTAAATATATACTAAACAATATGTTTCATTTGTTAACCCAAATTTTGAATTTTACTGTCACAATATTTGATTTGATAATTTCTTTAAAATAAAATGAAAGCACAATTTAAATATCCCTCAGGCAGCATCTTTGGATCCTATTTTCCATAGCATTAATTCTTTGAAACAATCAATGTTTTTTTCTTTAAAAAAAAATTTAGTTCCAGTCCTTTCAAAATTAATGAAAACCAAGCAAAAAGGACTCTGCAGACGTCAAATCAAGTTCTATTTGGAATACGATTCATTATTCAGCAGTTATAATGAAGTACCCTTTTTTTTTTTCCATTGATAATTTGCAACTCAATTAGGGAATTCAAAGTTAAAGCAGCTTTGGGTCCGGCAATCATATTTTTACTTGCTTGTTTGTAGCTCTATATTGCATCAGGTTAGACAATTTTATTTCTTCACATTATCACATAGAGAAAATTGCCAAATTTCCCTTTGAATTCTAACTTTATTCATTGTTAATTGGTCACCATTTCCCAAAAATTAAAAAGTTGGAAGAAAAGCAATGCAGGTTTCAGATCAAGATAGGTCCCAAAACATCAGTCCATAAGAAACAAAAAGGAGGCCCATCTTCTGAATTCTAACGATCCAACTCCTTGACATTCAACTCCGAATGTTGTTGGGCCACACTTGACAAAATCTAAAGAGATAATCCCCAAAAAATCTAGAAGAGTAGATAATAAGAGACCTAGTAATCAAAAACATTACTAGGTCTCTTGTAATTTTGAGATTACGACTTTTTTTTTTTATAAAAATTGTTAAAAAAAAGAGAAAAGATTTGAATGTTTATATAGTTTTGTATAAACTAAAGAAAACCCACTTAAAATGATCTTGTAAAGTTCTGTACCATAACGTGAAAAGGTAAGTATTTCGTGTGGTGATAACGATCGATAATGTCCTAAATTTTGGTATAAACTAATCTATTGTCCCTGCCAAAAATAATAATAATAAATTTACTAAAGTATAAATATAGTTTTTACATTACTTGTGTTGAAATTTGGGTAGGATTAATGTCAATGAATAATCTCTAAATTATAATAAAATATTTAATGTGATATTTAAAATTTAAAAACCTTTAATATAATAATTAAATTATAAATTTTTTAATTAATGTAATGGTTAAAAAATTATTTATCCATTACGTATCATTATTTAAAATTAATCATATTAAAAATAAATATTATATTAATTAATATATTTATAATTCAGATATTATATTAAAAAATTTTAAAATTCAAGTGCTAAGTTGAACATTTTATTATAATTTAGAGGCTGATCATGATATTAATCCATTTATTTATCTTGTTTTAATATTTGCTAATAAGCTTGTTACTGCTCAGCATGCCAATGATAGAACTCCTGTTAAGTCTGTCCTATGCCTTTTTAGTCGTTTAACAGGCCATTATCGTTGTAAAAATCACATCTGAGATACAGCTAGGTGAATGCAAGAGAGGACCTTGATTTTTTGCAACCTCCTTATTGTGTTGCTTGATTTGAGCATTAATGGTTGGATTTGCTCTTAAGGTAAGTGAATCTTTTACTGTTTCAATTACATCCCACAAGCGAAATGCTCTCAGATATGCTTTCATTTTTCATTTTTGCTGCTCAAATGGGATAATTTTCTCGTGTCTACAGGAGGTGGAGTTGCAAAGCTGCTACAAGCCAGGCAGCGGGTTCTATAGTGTTTAAGGTGTGAAGGAAGGTTCTAAAGTGTTTAGTCGTCTACCTTAGTATCCCACGTTTCTAACCCATTAGAACTAAAACAATCTTCATGCATCCCCTTTGGTCAGTGTCTGTCAGTTAATTTCGACGGTTATAATCATGCTCAATTAGGTAATTCTACCCCTTAATCAATCAGCTCAGCTCACCATTCGAAGGTCTCCCTTCACCGACTTAAAGATGAAAGACATAAGACAAAAGACAGAAAATGAGACCTTTCATTAAGATTTGCCACATCCAAGAAATAAACAAATCCATGTTGCGTTTAAGGCAATATTAAGTTTATATAAATAAATACAATAATATGAACAAAAATCGTACAGAGTTGCATATGCTAAGATGATCACTCCACATCTTTCTTGGAGTCTCAAAAACTTGGTCTAAACTCATTACTACATATTCTATTTTTTTGTTTCTAATTGAGATATACTTAACAATTTATATAGTTACAATTGTTTATTTCGTATCAAATATTTATAAAATATAAAATTTATCTTATCAATAAATTAAACATGAAATATAAATTTTTTTTTAAATTATATATGATTGTTGTTAAAATTATCATGTTGATTTTATAAAATTTTTTATATTGTTTTTATATCATGATATTATATAAAATCATTAGATTTAACCTAAAGAAAAAGAAGTCCTGGTGACTTTGAGCACAGTCCCCGCTGGCCATTGGTCAAGGTCACGTGTCCCCAGATGTACGCTGAGCACCTCCCTATTCCCGCCCGGCACCCTCCATCCTCGTTCACTCTATATATTTAACATCTGAAACTGATCAGAGCCTTTGATCATCAAAGACGCAATATCGTTTCTCTATTAATTTGTTTATATTTATTATTAATTGACAAAGAATCTTTTTTTTCTTTTTGTATTATTATATGTGTACCATGGATTTTATTGGGTTAATTAAGCCTATCGAATAAATGATGAATCGACCATGAAGTCACCAAAGTGATAATATAGAGTCAGGAGTATCGCTATTATATATTTCTAATTCTAGAAAGCTCCAGCTGGTACAAGATTTTGCTATCAACCTGGTTTAACATGATGATCAAAGGGTTAAGGCTTAAGGGTCCATTTTATAATGACCTATAGGGCGATGGGAATTCATCTCCCTGCAGGAGTCTCATTTGGGATCAAAACGTCTTTGATACTTAAAAAATGGAAGAATGAATTTTCATCACATTAAAGATCAACACCAAATAAAGCCTAAGTAAGTGAAAAAAAAAAAAGCATAAGCAAGCATTAGCACCTGAATTTGAATTTTATTTTTGTTTCGGAAAAAAATGAATTCAACTCTTGGAACAAAAAAATATATATACATCAATCATTGAATCAATTAATGTTGAGATGGAAATGTTGATAATCTTTTACTAATAGATATCTTGCAAGATGGTGTGGGTACTCAAATTTTTTTTTAAGAAATTTCCTGTTGAAAGTTTAAACTAGTGGATCGGCTCTTAACTTCATTACAATTAGTTGAGAATTTGATCATATAAAGATTTCCAAACTTCAAGTATGAATTTCTTTTTTCTTAATTTGGTATGAAAAAAAGTTAATTATAATTAAGCATACATAAGCATACATAGGTATACAAGGTTACATACATATAAACTTACGTAAGCATACCTAAATCTTAAAAAATAAATATATTTAAAATTAAAATTTTTATGATACATCTTTGTTGTTTAATTTACTGATTGTGTATAATATTCATATATTAATATTACATTGGATAAAAATCATTAATCAAAACTTTACCTACTTTTTACTATTAACGGGTCAGAAGCACGTGTTTATCAATACTCATTATCATGCAGAATTTTTTTTCATATATAATTCAGTGGACCGGCAGCAAAGCATAACGAGGTCCATTCAAGATTGGATCAATCTCACATTATTTAAAAATTTTCAAATTCTCAGTACTAAACATGATTTCTTCCAATAAGATCGTACTAAACCCTTGTTAATTAATTATCTGCCAACCTGTTTAGTGTTAAATTATTAACAATAGTTAGATTATTTAATAGACTAAATGATGGAGGTACTGCTGCCTTAAGATCATAGAATTAATATTAACAAAAAGGCCTCAAAGAATTAATATACAGTTACAGTTCATGTAGTTAAGATTCGGATACGTCTTGGAGTTGTCTTTATAGATTATCTTGTTGTTTTTGCCACGACATATAAATGGTCTATAACTTAAAGCCTCGATACAATTTGGAATTTTGCTTTAACCGCCATTCACCGCACAATAATGCATAGAATTGACAACTATGAGAACCACAAAATAATTAAAAAATGGATGAAATGGAACTATGAAAGCTACAAAATCAGAAAGAAAATATGCATAAAATAAAACCCTTGTTTTTATATAATTTTGGGGGTAAGATCTGAGAATATAAAACACATTGCCCCGGAACAGGGTCGGTGAAACGCTTAGGCTGGGGGGTCTCGAAGATAACATGTGTGGTGAGAGGCAAAGAACATGGTGTGTTGCTGCTACTGCTTTTTTTAGACTTGACCAGTCAACCCTCATTACCCTACCCTCGATCTTCACTTCCTCTACCCTTGCTTAATTTCTTTTTCATATATTTTCCCCTTAAAATTAATATGATCATGATCAGTAAGTGATTTGTTTTTTTTTTTCTTTTTTAGTTTCAACAGAGATGAAAATAATGAAATTACGTGGTATTGCGTATGGACTCTGACTCAGTACTGACAAACACGGATCACCAGCTGGCTTAAAACCAATCAACTCTCTCCTTTCATTGTGTGTGTGTGAAAAAGAGAGATTAAAGCAGTGTTAAAGTATGAAAGCAAAGTGGGAAACAGACCCAAAGAAAGACAGTATGGCGTATCCAGAGAGAGTTGATTCATTTTGTATTTTTGTTTTTGTTTTTTTTTTCTCCCTCGCAAGCCCTATTTGAATACAAGGCTTTAGCACCTCCTTTCTCTCACGCAAGTTGCCTTCTCTCCACTCCCCAACACACCTCAAACTACTTGCTTGACTTAACTCTATCTCTTCTTTCTTCGAAGCACACACCACTATCTCTTCCTCCATTATTTGTCTCCCTCAATACTGCTCCTTTCTATTCCTCGCAAGGCTCATCTCCTTTTTAAGTTGTTTCATTTATTTATATACTTCTTACTTTGCAATATTGCACCCTAATAATTGAGATGTCTAGCAGAAGGTCAAGATCAAGGCAATCAGGAGGTTCAAGAATAACTGATGATCAGATCAATGATCTTGTTATCAAATTGCAGCAACTTCTTCCTGAGATTCGTAATAGGCACTCAGATAAGGTACTTTCAACCTCCTAGCTAGCTAGCTACCTAGTTTTTTTCTTTGTTGACCTTGATATTTATATAACTTGCTATAACTAATTACTAAGGTCCTGAAAGAGGATTTTCAACCTCTTAAGAAATTAAGAAGTACCAAAACCTTGTTTACCTAATACCTAGAAGGGGTATAATTGAACTGAATATTAGTGAATTTTGCTTTGTTCGTAATCTGATTATTTAATTAATAAATTCTTAAATATTATTTGTTAAACTTAAAAGTTAAATATAAACGAATAAGAACCGAACCTATTTATGAATTATTTGTCGAACGTTGTAACGTTATATTTTTTTACACCCTATCAAAGTAACTAAGATTTAATAATAAGAAGGTAAAACCAGCTGCTGTTTGGATTTGTTTTGGTTACTAAATAAGATATAATAATACATATTCTTGACAGGTTTCAGCTGCCAAAGTGTTACAAGAGACTTGCAACTACATTAGAAGCTTGCATAGAGAGGTTGATGATCTTAGTGAGAGACTATCAGAGCTACTAGCAACAACTGACAATGCCCAAGCTGCCATAATCCGTAGTTTGCTGATGCAATAGATCAATTAAGGCTCATTAATTCTTTGGGGTTCACTACTTTTTGTGATAGGTTGCTGCTTTCTCTCTATCTTTGCATTTCTATCTTTATCCTTTCCTTTTTAGGGCTTTGTTACTAGCTAGATAAGAACCTTGTTGAAGTTCCATGAGTAGAAAATCTATGTGCAAAAGCTGTGTTAATTTAAGGAATTTATATTAATATAATAAGAGAAGTACTCTTGATCCACTCGTCAAGCCTCTCTCAACGTGCAAACGTGATGAACTCACCAATTTCAAGATATTAAACTACCACGTAACCAAAGCATTTTTCTTAAAAATTTAGTGAATCATGAATGGTGTTTGTATATTAATATCAAAGTTTAAAGAAACTTGATCAAATTGGTATATCTTAGTGATTAAAAATAACATTATATTTTAGCTTGTTAGATACATAATAAAAATTATACTTATGTGAATATGAGTTTTAATTTAATTAATTTAAGCAATTACCAAAAACAAATTAAATATTAGTTTAAGATTTAAAAATCAAATCCTAAAATATATTAAGTGTTGAGTAAAATGATTGTGTGAATCCAAATATGTACTAAAAAAAGACAAAATAATAAAAAATACATTTATCGATCATAGTGATCTACATCCATGGAAAAAAGGCCTAAAAGATTATTTGTTAATATTTTTGTTTATATGAAATGTAAGCATAATTTCAAATCCCAAAAACCATATGTTATTATTAATTAGAATATTAAATTTAATCATATTACTACATATTTGCTTAAATATAATTGATATTTGAAAACAACACTAATTCCTGAAAAGATTAGGTCTTTCACTTTGCTTTTTTCTTACTAGTGGCTCTCAATGGATAGATATTGATACTTAAACGTGAAGGGAGGATCTTAGCTAATTTATATTAAAACTTTAGAAACTTCCCCATTAAAGGTTTATTGGGTTAAAGGCCTATACAATTGTCAAACCGCATTGACCAATAAAATGTGTAAAGTCCATATTTAGTAATCACATTAAATTATTTGGGCTCTCATGCTTGTCTTGTAATAGGACTAAATTTATCAACCTGTTTTATTACATATTAAAATCCTTAATTAATAGTAGCCCACTTACTAAAAAATTTTAACATGAAAAAGTAAATAAAACCTTTATTTATAAAGGTGGTGTAGATAATATATGAAAAATAATAATGAAAGAGATATTAGAAATTACAAATGATTCTTGTAGACATTCCATTTCATTTGAGACTTAATTTTTGAATCCTTAACTTACTTTTAAATTTCCAATTCATTAATAAAATGTGGGTTGTCAACTTGTGATTTAAAACTAGCTCATTTAACTATGGATTTACTATTTGAATCTTAAGGTTATAACTTGGATTAGAATCCTAAAAGGAATCCATTTACTTTGATTTTTTTTTTTCATTTTTTTTCATTCATTTATTAATATTTCTAGAAAATGGAAAAAATACCAAAACAAAAAAAAAAATTGAAAAAAAATGGATTTGATTTGGATAAAACAACTTCTAGATGAAATCATTTGAAATTAAATCTTTTAGGGATAAAATTTTCCAAAGATAATATAAAAAATTTTGAATGGAATTGTTTCTTATCTAAACTTTTCTTTGATTTAATATCAATGTGCTTATAAAATCCACAGCAATAGGGGGTAGCTCAGCTAGATATCACTATCTTCACCCAGTTCACCACTTCATCATCCCGCTACCAACAATCGAGTGACCTTTAAGTCAAGATTGCACATTGATTTCACAACCAAAACATAGTCTCTCTACCACAATGTGCCTCTTCACCACTAGCTAACCAACACCCACTAACCCAGAAATAGTTAATATAGCAACAACAATTAGCTAATAATTTGTCAACCATATTGAATTCCCAATTTTAATAACTCAAATTACCTAATGAAGACACCAATTTTGTATTTTATTTTATTTTTTCTTTTTTGGCAACTTTTTTGCCAGCTACCTAACGACCATTGACAGCCACCCTAATAGTCACCAGTAACCATCCTGATAGCCATTAGCTATAATCCCATAAATCTTATATTTTTTGGTATTTTAATCTTATTTTTTGCTCTATAAATAGAGCCATGAAAACCCATAACAATGGGACAAAAAAAAAAGGAGGAAAACCTCTACAAAAAAAATTGATTGAAAAACAAAAAACCAGCTAAGAAAAACTTTGTTAAAAAGCCAAGAAAACCAAACAAAAAAAAAGTCAACACAAACCCAGAAAAACACAACCCCTGATAGCGGGGATCTCGACGTAAAAAACATAAAAGAAAAATTTTTTTCATTCTGATCGAAATTTTGGGCCTCAATCTATGTGGTTTGAGGTCGTTTCTCATGAAATGGAGGTTGGATTTGAGTTCAGAGAGTCGAAAACAAATTTTTAGGTATTTTTTGAGAATTTTTTTAACACACTCAATAGTGACCAATGTCCGTACCGACAATCGACGACAACAATCAGCGACAATAAAAACCATCAGAAACTAGGGAATGTGATAAAAGAAGAATTTTGAGAGAGAGAAAAGAAAAAGAAGAGAGAAGAAAAATGAAGAAAAAAAATGAAAGAGTTGGGTGTTTTGGGAGCTATTTATAGTGAAATCAAAACGACATCGTTTTGATTAAAATGTGGCCAAGCCACAAAGCCGAGCCAAGAACTGAGTTGAGCAGTATATCCAAGCCAAGCCGATCAAGCCGTTGACTATAGGTCTAAGCCGGTTGAATGAGCCGTTAAAGCCACATTTGAATTTTGACCGTGTTGACCAGGGGCATTTTAGGTATTTTCATCATAACTTTTTATTTCTTTTATTTTTTTGCTTAATTTTTTTATTATTTCTATTATTTAATTTATGATTTTTTTGTTATTTTATTTTATTTTATTTTTGTATAAACTTTTCGTATAAAATAAAATAAATGGTAGAAAATATAAAATAGTTTTAATTTAATTAATTTAAAATAATTGCTAAACATAAACTTATTAAAATTTTAAAGAACAAGAATAAAGAAAAATATACAATAAAGAATAATAATAAATAATTAATATAAATAATAAAAATTAGTAAAAACATAAAGGAAGAAAATTTTTATCCAACGATGAGATTTAAAGGTATTTTGAGTAGTGATATCTATAAAATCTTTAGGTGAAAAAATTTTTTTTTTAAATACTACAAACGTATTGGAGTATTTATAAAAAGTTTTCAATATAATAAAATTTTTTTTTATAAAAATAGTAAAGTAAAAATTAACTAATTTGTTAAAAATATGGTGATAAAAAATGAGAAAAAATAAATTTTATCTGATAACAAGATTCTAAAAGTATTTCAAGTAGAGATGCTTTAAGAAATCCCTAGATGAGAAGATTTTTTAAATATTACTAGTATATTGAAATATTTCTAGAAAATCTTCAATATAATAAAAATTTATCTTTTCTTCAAAAACTTAAATAATAATTCAATAAATAAGAATAATAAAATTTCTAAAGAAGAGAATAAAATGTGCACGTCAACATATTAACATTTTTTGCATTACATAGATTTTATAAAAAACAAATTTGAATATTTAAGGATGAGATTTTAAAGTATTCCGAGAAGTGATGCCTAAGAAATTTTTATGTGAGAAAAAGTTTTTTTAATGTTACCAATGTACTGGAACATTTTAAGAATTATTTTAATAAAAAAATTCTAATTTATTTTTGAATAAAATTAGAATAATAAATAATAAAAGGTATGAAAAAAAGAAAAAACCAAAATTTCAATAAACAAAGGAAATTAAGAAAATTATTTTTAAACACCGAAATAAAACTGTTTTTATTAAAATCAATGGATAACACGTAATTAATTAATACTATTTTAAACAGACGCTGTGAGGGTGCTAATCCTTTCTCACACGTAACTGATTCTCAGACCCAGATTGGTTCGTAGATCCCAAAATTATCTTTTTAATAAATTTTAATTAATTTTAAGATTTCATTAAAATGATGTATTTTAATATGTAGCCAATTGCACATAGCTAAAAAAAGATTGATGACAACTCTTTTTTTTTTGTTTTCAAATTCGTCGGGTAGACGCAAAACCATTACGACACCTAAGATTTCAACAATTATACAGTACACAACACACACAAGGAAGAATTGAGTGAGACCCAACAACTAATGGTCGATTCTAAGTTCACCAGCATCATCAAACTACCATAAGTTTTCCTTCATTCCTATTGTCAACCCAAACCGATAACAAGATAATATAGGCAAACACACACAAGCAGATACTACAATTAACAGATAAAAAGACATTGTCAACATTGTTACTGCCACCATCAACTAGAATCCTAATTTTTGAACCTATCCACCGCCCTAACCAACCACCAAAACTTACCATTACCTTTCCTCACCCAAATAGTAACCATCAATCCAAAATCCAACCAAACAATCAAAACACAAGATCCAGAATCAAGCATTAAAGCAATAGCCATAATATCTAAAAGAAAAAAATAACAATAACACAAAAATAAAGAGCAAAAAATTTATAGAAATAGCCTTGCTAGCATGGTTGTTTGGCTTTAAGTTTATATGTTTTTTAGTGTTTGATTTGAGAAAAGGAAAAGGAAAGTTTGACGTGAACTTTGGGTCTTTGAATCAAATTAAAGGTCTAACAAATGACAAAAAAGAAAAAGAAAGGCAGTAGGAGCCATTGTTGACAATGACAATGTAGGTGTCTCACGATGACGATTAAAGTTTGGAAATAAAAAATGGTAGAAGTATAAAGAAAAGGCATGTGAACAACATGCTAAATTATCAGACAAATCGGAGAGGTAAAAAAAAGGCTTTTTCAAAGTTTGAAGTCGTGAACTAAACTTGCAAATTTAGATTGTTTTGGGTGGTTTCAGGGAAAACTAGGGTGAAAAAAGGAAAAAGGAGTCAACGAATAAAAGGGTTCCACCACTCCACTATGAGGGACTAAAAAGGTGTATATTTGGT